AATTATAACGGAAAATCACTTATTCGCGCTCACCAATTCGACATGTCATATCATGTGTAATATTTTTGTTATTTGTCGAGCATAATAATAGAGTTTGTACTACTTTTTGTCATTTGTCACGTAGAGAAGTGCATAGACGTCGATAGGTTGACGACGTGTGCTACGAAGTAAAGTCTTTTTTTCTGAATATCTGGTCCAACTAACCTAAGTAACTCTTCAAATGTCGATTTTTCCATTCTATAAAAACTTTTAAAACGATCAGGATCGTCTAGCTCTTTAAATACGGAATATACACCACGGGGATAGCAATTTTTACGCCAAAATGGATGGACCCAATATTTGCAAACAGTAGAATCTTGATTGTAATTGCGACGTCTCAGTACAGTAAGTTCTGTCGAGCGCCCGTTGACGATTATCTTTAAAAATACATGGGTCGCCAACCAAATACCGAGACCCTTTTTGGGGTTGGAGTAAATGGATTTAATATCGTGGTCAGTTAGACTATATTAATAAATAAAGGAAAAGGATTAATGAAAAAAAAGATATTATAGAGAAATATAAATATATTATAATAAAACTTTTACATGGTGGAGGAAAGCTCGTAAGGGCGTAAAACCTCCACCTTTTCATAGTATGAATTTAAAAAACAGAGAATTTTCCACACGCGGATTTATAAGATTAGAAATGGTGTATAAAATAACACTGACGAATACCGGCCAAGGTATAATAATAATAAGAAAATAGTTTTGATTTTTAATTATAATACATTACCGACCAATCGGACAATTGGTCGTCGTCCCAAGACGCACCGGCATGGTCCGGTCTACTCGTGCATGTTGTGGACGACGGAACATCTACACAAAAAGTGAGCCAGTATAATACTTTTCAGAAATATACGAAAACTGGCTCATTGAAATAATAATAATAATATTATTATTTAATTATAATAATTGGCCGATACTCGTTATCATGCAATTATTACATGACCACCCACTAACATACCACACACAAACGGATAGAGAGGTGTGCAATTACAGAGGTTGGAGGGAATTCCAAATGTGTTTTCGTCCATCGATGTTATAGGTGATGAAGTAGTCGCGCATTTATTTAAGATGGTTATTACTTATTGAGGAAAACCAAACACGGACACTAATCTATTTTGATCGTTACATAATTTAAATAATTTACAAAATGTATTGCAACAAGAACGTCTTCATCCTTAGACGACATTTTGGCAAATGAAAAAAAAACATAGAAATGACTTGTCATTAGAAAATCATGTAATTTTGATGCGAGTCACACAAATCACTTGTTACTTATTGGTCATATCACTCGTCAGATCACGCATCATGTTACTTTGATAAGCGCTGCACCTAACTGCTATTTTCTATTTTTCACGTACCTATGGTGAATCACATGTTTATACTATCAGAATATCACAGTAATCCATAGAGTTAGAATACTACTCTATTTACTATTTAGTCGTGATATCAGATAATATTTACCTAATGTAAATGTGACATAATATTAATCATTATTCATTAACTATGAACAATGACTAATATAATAAATTAACAAATGTTATACCTAATATCAATAAATATCTAAAATCACGAATTTGTATGTTTTTTATGTGTAATTTTAATGAATGGTATTTTATCTAAAATATATTATCTATTAATAAAAATATTACATTATATTTCAATCCATGTTATAATTATTTATTAATAGTAAATCATGCTCTATGTAGTAAACTATTTCCATTTCCCACTATTTTTCGTATCTACAGTCTTAACTTCAATTTATCTACTCTGTTACTATATAATGCACACAAGTGTATAGTTCTATTGTAACAAGTAGCAAGTAGCTACTAACAATGGTCGCATATCACTATCTCATAAATCACAGTGTTCAATATTTTTCATAATTAGACAACTTAACAGATTTGTGATATAATTACAGTGTGATAAAATCACTGTTAGATTATGTATGTGTAGTAGTCACTGCTATTGCTACTCATTTGATTACTGTGAAAAGTAGCAGTGATTGCTACTTTTTAACATCACTAATGTCAAACGGTACAAGAGTTGACATTGACAATCACGGGGTGGTTCCATATTCACCATTGCAGTGTAAAATCTACAAAGCACACATTAACGTTGAGCTCTGCAGTTCGGTGAAGTCCATAAAATATATATACAAATATATCCATAAGGACAGTGATATGGCTGTATTTGCTGTTCAAAATGTTAACGAAAACGATGAAATAACACGATCAGGCACCAGAACCGTAACCGAAAAGAACTGGTTAACCTGAGGTAATTTGTGATTTATTATACGGTATACCTTAATGTAACAATATGGTTCAACCAATCAGAGATAATTATTTTAGAGAATAGTCATATAAAAAACGAGTGCTTCATGCCAGTGAATGTGGTTGGCATCCGCGTTACTGTGCATGCATTAGAACTAGATAATCCGCGATTCGGCACCATCAGTGCACACGCAATCATTATCTCATATCACATAATTTCATCATAATTATCATTATTATTTTATTATTTATGAAGTTTTGATTATATACTTAACTAATGTGAGTAATTTGTTTAAAATTCATTACGGATCATGAATGAAGAAAGTTGGTGAATGACCAAATCTCTGGGGACAAATAAAATTAATAGAACTTGTCCATCAAAAATTGAAATTACGACTTTGGAATCTGACGGAATCTTAACTATAATTATCATTATTATTTTATTATTTATATTATTTAAAAAATAAAAGATTCCTCATTAGTTTTCCTACATTAAATTGGAAAGTCAAACAATTTTTTATGAGCGTTTGAAGTTAAAATTTTTTTTTCTAATAGTGTTCTAAAATGTAATACTGACACAACTCTAAATATTACTGTTTTAATCAACATATCACACTCTAGTCAGTGGTTGAATTGGGGGGGGGGACGCAGAGGGTCTGAGCTACTCTTCATTTTTCTTCATATTATAGCGTACCCCTTAATTTAATTCATCAAGGAACGCAGGGGACGCAGCGTCCTTCAACAATTATATGAATATGAATTTGTTTCTAAGAAAAATTAAATAAATATGAAAAAAAATTGGAAACGATTAATATTTTATTTAATTTTTGGTATTAGTTCGTAATCTGTTCATTATTATTAGCACATATGTATATTAGGAACGCAATAATAACATATATAATAATGTTATATAATTTATGTAACACGTTTCAAGTGTTTCCACTGCGTATTAATTCGTGGTATAAGCTGCAAAATTGCTAAAAATATAATTATTACGAAAACTTCCCTGGGTGTACCGATATAACGATCCTTAGTAAACCATTGACAATAATAATATATTGACTCCGTATTTTGAGAATCCGTCCGTTGTTTTAGTTATCGACGATTAACAAATGGTGATCGTTTTCAAGGAAAATTAAATATTATTTATATTTTATTTGGAAACGAGGTGCGCCACGAATGAGTAATCGGTATTATGTTAGCTTGTCGCGTACTCGCGTATGTAATTTATAAATTGTAATTTTGTTGAAAATAGTAAACACCTCAACCGCACTCCTACAGTCCTACATGTCACGTCAGCAATAAACAAATAAATATGAATAAACGTCAAAAATTGTCCATATCGGACTTTTTCAATAAAAAGAAAAACAATAACCAAGGTAATTAAAACACTTTAATTTAATAATAAATCATAGACGTGCGCAGATTCCTGTTACCGGTGTACTTTTATTTTTTTTTGATAATCCACCCTCATAAATCCCGCCTTAAAAAAAAAAAAAAGTAGAAATAAAATTTATTAGAAAAACTGATGTACAATCTGATTATCAATCAACGTCAGTCCCGGCAATTTTTATTTTTTTGTAATTTGATAAAATTTATAAAAAAAACTTGATTTTTCAAAAAAAGTTATTAGCCCTTTTTACTTAAGTACCTAGTACCTACCTAAAAAAAAAGTTAATAAATACAGTTAAAAGTTCCTTAAATTTTTTTGGTCATACATTTTAAAGCAATACTTATACATAACTATGATAAAAATAATTATTATTTAACTCTCAGCAAATCTTAGTCCTAAAAATAATGTGACGGGATGAAATAAATTATTTGACTAATATTAAACTTCAAATATTAAAATTAATATTGACAAAAAAAAATTAATATACTAATTAAAGAGTAACATTTATAATCTATAAATTTAATATTTACTTTTTGTAGGCAACAGTAAAATACATGAATTATTTTAAATTGAAAGTTAATTGATTAATTAATTTTATCATGTGGCTATATATTTACATTTTAGATTTTAAATTTGCTAGACGTGTTGCTGTGTTGATAGAATTAATACAAATAAATACCTATTAGTATTGTTTATTATTTGTTATAGATATCTGTGTTAATCATTAGATATATTTAATTATATTGTAGATGCATTTAGGTGGTGGGGGGGACAAAGTCCCCCACGGTTTTTTTTAGATTAATTTGCTTTGGAACGCTAATTGTTCAGCTACATTTAGAGTCCACCTTTATTTTTTTTTCCAATTCAACCACTGACTCTAGTTAAATTTATTTAGTGCAAAAACATCACAAATTGAAATAAGGCAGTCTTGAATTTTTACCTTTTTGACTGAATGAATTAAAAAAGTAAACTACCATAAAATAAATATGGCTTTCTTGCTTTGAAAATTAGCTACAAATTTAATAATACAATACTGACACATAATTTTAGTGGCTATATGAAAAATTATATTAATAATAATAAATTAATATTATGCTTACATGTTTTAAGCCATAAAACATATAAATCTATATAAAAAATAAGTATAAGTATATTATTTTAGTTTTAATTATATGTGCTTATTAATTATGCTTATTTAAAAGTTGTTATTTGCATTTTGCAGCTCATATGTCATCTAAGGAAAGTTTGAAATATGTATGAAATAAATTAAAATCAGTTTTATTATAATACCACATTATTTATTAATTATTGCATTAAAACCAAAATAATTGTATTTGGTGATTGACCAAAATTTTATTGTTGATCATAAATATGATCAAATACACCATGAATGTTAACAGCATGATTGTCATCATCGAGCCCTTCTCGGATTCCATTTACTTCATGGAGTGAAGGCTTTTGGAGTTGATTTTTTTCAATTCTTTTTTTCTTTGTTGAATACAATTTGTGTTGAAGATCAATATTTTTTCTAATATTTATTTTTTCTTCAGTCTTATAATGGATTCTATCAGTTTTATTCAAAGTTTTTAATATATCATACATTTTCTTTTCAACTAAATTTGCGTCTTCTTTACTAATCTGTCTTGCAACACACAGTTTTTAGATGAGTCCTAGTTTTGAAATAATATTTCCATTTGTTTCAGGTTTGCATTCTTGAGAGACTTGTATAAATGACAGTAAATCTTCTTTCTCTTCTCTAATATTATCTTCTAAATGTATTTTATTATCATTCTTCTTGTTATTATTAACATTAGTTTCATCGTTATTATTACTAATATTATTATTGCATATACTGCCGACTACTTTATAAAATTCTAGTGCACAAGAATGTATGTGTTTACAGATATTCATTTTTATAATATTATCTGTGCAAATACATATGAAAGTATGTACACAAATTCTACATACTGGACATTTCAAGCAAGAACTATTACAAATCCCTCCAACTTTAGCAACATAATATTCTTGAGATTTATCCGATACTGATTTAACAATCCATAATTTTTTATTTTCAAGAACTCAAATTGAACTTGTTGTAATTGATTCACCTCGCGTATGACTTTCACAAATTTTTTTCTCTTTAGATGTCATAACATTTTTCGATATTTTAATTAATCTTTTAAGGATTATGTCTCTATTTATCTTCATAACAGAATTTATTATCTTATCCAAACGTTGACATTTTTTCCCTTCTAAATAATGCTTTAAAACTTTATGAAAAGATTCAAGATACATATTTGTGTTGATACCTTTTTTTAATCGATAGCAGTAAGCCCAAACTTCAGATCGTTTTGAGTAACTGTCTTTAAAATATATTCCAAATGCATGAGTATCTTCATCCTTTAATAAGTCATTTATAACTTGATCTTGACATGTTTTAAATTCATCAACTGATGTTATTTGTAATAAAACCCGCAATGTCTTATATACGAGGAATTTTTTTTCGGCCCTCCTTTTAATTTTACACAAATGTTTTCGCCAGTTTCGGTCAACGTGCCATATACACAAAAGTCTGTGTGGAACATCTCCCATGACGATACTCCAAGCATTGTAATACGCAGGTGCATCATTACACATGAAAACTTCAGGTTCAATTACACCTACCTTTGATTTCATTTGGCTGAAGAATAATTTGAAAATCGTCTCATCAGCTCGATTAGAAAAGTAGTATGCAACAGGGCATCCAGTTCCATATTCGTTCACAGTCATGAATGTATGAAGTTGAAAATCATATGCATTGGTGCCATGCGTACCATCAATATATATTTTATCTGGACCAAATTTAATGATTTGCTGAGCCTAGAATTTACTCATTATCATAAGGGCAAAGTCTTTTACTTCTAAACAAGAATTATCATCATCATTAACATCTTGTGCTTTATAATAAATTATCGGTGAATCTTCCCCAAGATTTCTCATTTCATCAACCCATAACGACACGCTGACAGCATCATCTATGTGTCGTTTTGTAGAATATGTGATATTGAAGTCGCGTGAAATGTTACATAAATTGACGCTCTAGGAGGAACAACCGTTGCTGTGTCTCAGAAACTATTCCATCACGAATATCATCTAAAATATGGTCCCACGTGACCCCTTGTTGTAATTTGCCTAGTGATAAAAAAAAATTAATTAAAAATGAATCAAAAATAGTTTTAAAGAATATTATTTCGTCCCTCTCGTGTCGATTTATTTGTCAAGTAAGGAAAATTAAAAAGGTGATTTAAAAACCGGGAATGTTCAAGGAATTTGTTTCTTTAAATTTAAGAAATCGTATAATAGAAACAAACATTAATTGTAATACAATCAATATTACTAAAAACAACTAGGTACTTTTACATTTAAAGAATTTTATTTTATTAATTTAATACATTTTATTATTACTGTTAACATTTTATGTTAACATGTTTTTAAATTCATCAATATTTTGGTTGTATAAATAAATAAAAAGGTTGACGAAAAATATTGACAAAACGATAAATCATTTTAAATATGTATCTAAAAGTATAAAATGAAAGAAATATGCCCTAAAAACTAAAAATTAATATTAAATTAAATTTTAAATTTGGAGTTCCTGATTTGTACATTCCAGATTTGTGCAATTCAGGTTTGTACATTCCAAATTTTTAAATTCTAGGTTTATACAGATCCCCTTATTTTATTCAATTTTAAAACTCTCATTCTTACTTGCGATCATTGTTTTTGTTTCTTTATCCAATCGTATACGCCCAATATCATGTGCATGACCACAATGAGTACCTACTCCAAAACTTGACTTTTATAGTTGAGACTCTGTCAGATTCCAAAGTCGTAATCTCAATTTTTGATGGACAAGCTCTATTTATTTTATTTGTCCCCAGAGATTTAGTCATTCTTAAATCCTTTCCTTTCTTACGATAATGCCATTAACGATGACAGAAGATATGTTTTTTAGTACTACCATCGGGTAAATCTCTTTCAGCACTATCGAGTACATACATATTGACATTTGTAATTTTGAAACTTTGGTGCAACAAGTTCAATACTATGAAACTTCCTGAAGTGAGCACATAAGCTCTTTTTCAAACTAAATGATTTATTACATTCCTTACACTTTAAATTATTATCCATTTTAAACAAATTTTAAATGAATTTTAAACAAATTACTCAATACTTAGGTATATAATCAAAACTTTATAAATAATAAAATAATAATGATAATTCGCGGTAGCGCGTGAAAAAGGGGTTAAGTCAACATTTTGTGTAAAATGAGTTATTTACATCAAAAAATGCAGAAAAAAAAACTACGTACATTGTGTCAAAATATATGTCATTTTGCATTATTGAATGCGTTATTTCAATGTGCGTTTAGTGTTAACTCAATTACTATGTGCTACAAGAGTTATGTCACCAATAGGTACATATATCTTTTAACACCGAATTTTTTGTGGTGCACGAGGAGTTAAGTTTGGCATAAACCTTTATACACGGAATAATATTGATCACTGTTAAAGATAAGTCAGCTGTTTAAAATAATAATACCAATATTACAGCAAAATAATAATGTTAAGTGGTTACATTATGAAAAATCTTCTCCACATACTTTGTATTATAAGAATGAATTAAATAGTGAAACATAAAAAAATATTTTTAGAAGTAAAGCTCAGTAGAAAAGTAAAAAAACCTGTTTAACGTTTACATCTCAGAAATGCTTACAACGAATCTCTTCCGATTTCGGATGAGAAAAAAAAGATTTGATGGACATGCTACCTTATATATCTTCAGTCTACCAAGTAGTAGTAGTAAGTAGTAGTAGATAAGTAGTAGTCCATAGAATTTAGAACAAATTTAAATAACAACAGCAGAATAAAAACAACAAACATTTAGATTTAATATAAAATATATTAATTATAGCACCTTGTTTTATTAAAATAATTATTATTTATCATACAACTCGTACAAAAAGTTAGTTTTTAATAAAAATAGTCATTATTAACTACATAAATTAGTATAGGAAATGTTAAAGTTAAGTAATTCAACATAGATTAAATTTGATGAAACTAATTTTGTTTAATAAAAATAATAATTTAAAATTAATCAGCACAACAAAATCTAAAATTTAAACATAGAAAAATCATATAATAAAATATTATAACATTTGTAAGATCTAGTATATTTATTTGATTTCTAAAATAATAATAATAGTAAAATAGAGATCATTTGTAAAACAGGATGATACTATAAATTATGTTTTTATAACATAACTTAGACAAAACCATATTCTTTTGCTACCTCTACTGATAAAGGTACCAACCAGTAATCAGGTAATCTGTTATTATGCTCCTTTAAGTATTGATTCATCAACTCATCAGATACAGGATGATATTTACCATTTGGTAAATCAATATAAAACTTTACTTCACCATCATAATTTGATTTTGTTATAACTTTACATTTTACATTAACAGTTTTAGAATTATTCTGATCACTCTTAGACCCAAAGTTTTTTTTGGTAGAATTAAAATACACAGGCATTGTAGTTTGTTTCTTTACCACAGTGACTTGGATATCTTTAGGTAGATGAATATTAGCTGGTATTATAGAAATATTTGGTGAAAGCTTTGGTATATTAGATTTTGTAAGTGGTGCTTGGCGTTTAACATAATTGGTATTAGTAGTATAAGTGGTATTAGTTATTTGCTTTTTTCTGGAAATACAATTTTGTGATCTGTTAAAATTATTCCTTAATCTTGAAGGTTTATTAATATCTAAATTCTGAGTTTTCATAGAGCACCCAATAAACTGTATATCATCATCATCATCATCGCTAATAAGAATTTCTTCATCATCTTCAATTGAAATAACTTCATCATTTTTGTTAGATTCAACAGAATTGCTTATTGTAGAAATACCTTTTTCGTTATTCTTGCTAAGAATTTCACAACTGTACAAATTATCATCATTTAATGTTATGATTTCTGCATCTTTTAAATCACCAATATTAATTTTTTTAGTATCTGTTTCTTCTTTATTCGTACTGCTATCTATTTTACGTTTTTGTTTATTGCTAGCAAGTATTTGATTATTTTTTTCTTTCTCGCTGTCAATTAGTAAAATAACTTCATTACTCGAAACATCATTTTGATCATTTTCAACAATATGATTTGGCTTATTGCTTACAATTATTTGATTATCTTCTTCTTTCTTACTATCAATTAGTAAAATAACTTCATCACTCGACACATCATTTTTATAATTTTCAACAATATGATTTGACTTATTGCTGTCAAATATTTCTTTATCTTCTTCGTCCTCACTGTCAATTAATAATATATCGTTCATATTCTTTTCATTAACCATGTTATTTGAACTAAAATAATCACATTTTTTATTTACTAACTTTTTTTTAACTGAATTTAGATTTTTTTGGAGTTCAGTAGGTTCAACTTTTTCGTTGATGTTTGACAATTTCTTTTCTTTTATTAATTTTCTTTCGAGTTCTTCAAGTTTAGTCGCTTGTTTAGTTATATTAGTCTTAATCTGATTTATAAGACCCCATTCGTCCTCAGAGTCACTATAGTCATTATAAGATTCATTTGTTTCACTACATTCTTCATCAATTTTACTTTCATATTCATCAGAATAAAGTATAAAATTATTACTATTATATTTTGGTTGAACAATAGATCTTTTTCGTTTCTCCGAAATGATTTCTTTATTGACAACTAAAATTTAAATGTCAAAATGTCATGTTATATTAAAAAAACTTATACATACAATGCATGCAGTAGTGTTTTTAAAACAAAAAGTATGCATAAAAAAAAAAACTTTGTTGATAATTTTAATTATTAAATAATATTGATTTTATCAATCTATAGTTATATAGTAATACTTAATTTACTTTAAAAGTTTTATATCCCAATAGTATAATGGAATTAAATGTTAACCAAACATATTTTTCCATACATTTATTTATAGAATAAATTGGCTTAAAAAAACTAATAAAAATAAATAAACTATAATAATTACCTTGAGATATTGATTTTGATTCTTTTTTTTCCCAACTTATTGCTTTATTCTCATCATTTTCATATCTCTCTGAATAAGATTTCCATTCTTTATACAATTTTATTTTAGAGTTATTGTTTAAAACAATTAGATTACATTCTTCTGGTTCAATTTCTCTAATGAATTTTTCTAAAGCACTTATTAAGTTATTAGGGACAGATTTATTTTCAATATCAAGTTCATTTAAGAATGCTCTTAAACCTTGAACAGAATCGGCTATAATTTTAAAATATTTTCCATTTGGTTGTACTCGTAAATTAGAAAAAAAAATATTAGGAATACCTAAAAAAATTGAAGTAATTTAATTCAATATTTTAAATTATACGAAAAAAATTTATTACTAGATTTGGACAATAGTTCTTCATTCTTTGTGTCTTCTTTAATTTTTTCTGTTTGAAGAAATTCAAGATTTGGCTAAAAATAAATAAAATAATTTTAATTAATAATAATAACAATAAATAATTACTAAAGTCATTACTTGATCATATGGAATAAAATAATAATATATCCTCAAATCAGGCATTGATTTAAAATAAAAATATTCTTCGGTTTCCAAATCATTCTTCCATATTGTACATTGTCTTTCATTGCAATTTAATATAATATCATTGATGGTCTTATATTTATTCTGAAAAACAAAAATAATAGTTTGAATTATGACTATAGCTTCTAATATAAAATCATTATAACTCTAAAATCAAGGCCATATCTGGGAGTGTCCAGAGTGTCTGGATACCCCCGAAATTTCTTCAATATTTTAAAAATGTTTAAAATAATTATTTACTTTTAATACCAACATAAATATTTTCAGCCAAAAATGACTTAAGCTCCAATTAATCATTGACTGTTTTTAGATATTTTTATAGCGTCTAATAATAATAATCACAGACTTCTAACCAACGCGCGTAGTATATAGAAATCTGACGTGATAAGATGGCAAAGTAATTTTGTTTATTTAATTTTATTATATTTTAATAAAAAAAGACTAATAAGTCTTATTTTTAACCAAATATCATAAGTCATCTAAATTCAATATACATGTTTTGGATTACCCTTGAAAAAATTTCTAGATACGGCCTTGTCTAAAAGAAATAAATAACTTAATACAAATATAATTTAAAATCAATATTTTAAGGATTTTATATTTATTTAATAATTGATGAACTTACAGTAACATAATCACAGAGTCCTTTTACGAGCCAAACCTTAACCAAATATGATAGTTCACAATAATCGTTTACAATTAGAGGATTTTCATCACCTACAACAGCCCAAAAATCTGGATGGATACCCAGCAAATTCATAACCTAGAATATAATATATTTTTACTATTTGCATTACTACAAAAATTTACAACATAATATTTTAAAATAAAAGTATTTAAAAACTATTAATTTATAACATTTTTTAAATGAATAGTTCTTACATTTACTTTATTTCGTTCTTTTGCATGATATATTTTATACCATTCTGATAATCTGTTGCTAAGTTTTTCAGACCAAACTTTATAAGGCATAATTTGATCACTAGATTTTATATTTTTTTTAGTTGGCATTAATAAAAAAGACATGATTTTGCTCATAGTTGTTGATTCTTTAGGCATTACAAACATTCTTTCAATTATACCTTGATTTATTATGTCAATATCAAGTTCTTTAAATATAATTGCCAGAAAGTTACCTATTTCTGGTAACTAAAACATTATTTTTTAAATTAGTTCAGATTGACACAAAAATATAAGTTTAGCATATATTAAAAAAAAGTTTACCTCCCACATTGAACTAATATATTGATAATGATCAATAAAATAAATTTCTGTTTCCCAACCTGTTAGTTCTTCTAATACATGGGCATTATCTACACCATTAGTAGAACACAATATTTTATAATTTTCGTTTTTTAATCGTTCAGGGTGACAGTGTGCTACTGATTTCAATAATATCGAATCATAACAATCTAAAATACAACATTCCATAAGTTCTATGAATCAGTGGCGTATTTAGGAATTTTGCTAGGGGGGATGAAATATATAATAATACATCCTAACACCCATAAATTCGTACATAATATACATTTTTAAAATCCCTTAACTTGTTACCTATTGAGGTTAGTGTGGATCAAGGCAAAATAAGAATTAATCTTTATAATTACCTCATCATTTTCCAAACAAATTTTTTTATTTGTACTAAAATAAGAAAATAAAGTTTATTTTTGTTTTTGAGTATTACTCATATTGTCTTAAAACTTCACAGTTACAACTTACAAGACGCAAAAAATAAAGTCGAACAATAGTCAATTCGGCAGTAAGTCAGTACTCGGAATGGCGCGGCGTCGCTATCCGTCAACGTCCAACGACCGTACATATCTACTTTTAACGAATCACAATATCATACGATAAAATATATATATATATATAGCTATACATTAGCCATAAATCTACTAGTAACAAATTTTCTAAAAATAAACCCGCCCGGCCGCCTTATGGTTAATCCACGGTCCTCATGGTCATTTTGTTTTGTTTACCGATTGCTTATCGGGTTTATTATAAACACTCTTGCATGAAAAATAATTCGCAGAAACGTACAAAATACAGTACTCCATAATATAGGTATAGTTTTTGTTGCCTGATAGTCGTACATGCCGCCAACGATAAACGATTAGTGGCGATTAGTATATCAGACTATCAGAGCGGTACAATTACCACGACTAGAACATTTAGAAAACAGAAAACATACATGCTTGAAAGTAATATCATATTAAGAATATTAGAGAAAATGAGACAACTTATAGCTACCTAGGAAAAAAAAAAGGTCAAGGGGGGGGGATCTATCCCCCATACCCCCCCCCCCCGTAAATACGCCACTGCTATGAATTAATCAAAAGCAATAAAAATAATATTGTATACTACATACCTTTTGGGTACTGGACAATGGATATTGGTTTTTCATCTAAGTCAAGCAATTTGAAGGTAAGTTTAATATCAGCTAATGCTCTGTAATACCTAAAAGCAATGATAGAATAAGTAATTTGGATATAAACCCTAGAAAATAAAAGAAGTAATTACTCATTTAGGCAACTAATTTCTTTTTCTAATAGTTCTTCAAGTTCTAATGATTTAATTGTATGATCACTTTCAGTACCATAAAACTTGTAACAATTTAAAAACACAAGTCTTATATCTTTAACTACATCAGTTATTGAACAGTACTTTTTATCTTGAAAATATTTTTCAACTTAAAAATAAAAATAAAATAATTAAATAGCAAATAAATATTTTTGATAAAATATAATAAACTTACTGGTTATAAAATCTATATGATCATCTAGGTTTTTTTTGTAATCAATATCTATAGATTTACTTGATAAATCTTTTAAAATTGGTGGAGCTTTCAAATATAATTCTTTAAATATTCTAAAAACCCAAAAAAATAAAACATGTTTTTAATATATTAATAAAATCTAAATATGCCATTTATTAACATCAATAATATTAATAACACATATAGTTAAAAATAAATTACTGAATAAATTAATAAAACAACACAATAATGGAGTGAGATTCAATAACTACCTACAAATATTTTCTCGATATGCTCAAATTCTACTATGAATTTTAAATCACTTTAGTTTTTATATTTTTCTAAAATCAACATTATCAAATTATCATTGTGTTAGTGTATGTGATCGTTAACAAAACTTAACTCTATTTTTCAAAGTATTGTTATTTATTCAATTATGATTAAGAGAATGAAAATGTATAAACTTTAGTTGTTATACTTAGTTCTATTAAATCTGTTCAACAATATTTCAAGATTAAGATAAGAATAACATAATTTTAATTTAATTTAGGAAAATAATTTCTATAATTTTTATATTAGCGTGGTTGCGTTGGGTCTCTATTTTAAAAATATATTTCAGGGACCAGTGACAACCGGGTATCCGGGTGGTCCAAACCAACACTGGATTATAACATAGAATATACAACAGTTGAAGTCAACATAATGTCAGGTTACTCAGAGCAATCTAAATAAGAGACCATATTTACAAAAAAATTTATAAATTATAACACTTCACATGAAAAACAATTCTAAGTAAAACTTTTTATTATAAATTAAAATAATATAATAACTTCAGTAAAATAAATCTAATTTTCCTGTGTGGTTTTCAAAGGAATTGATTGATATTGTGTTTCAAAAAAGAAAAGCTCATGCCACTTAACACATAACCTACTTGACTATCATAAATTTTCTCTACTGCATGCACAATATAAGTTTATGTTTAAACAATGTTATAGGAATTTTATTGAACGAACTAAATTAAACTTTTATTCAAATCCGATTAATTTTTGGAATTTTGCTAAAAAGAATTAGTCTACCCAAGTTATCCCTAAAGTAGTTAATCTGAATGAGAATACCAGTTCTAATGATAAAGAGCCTGCTAATCTGTTTTTAAAACATTTTAGTTCTGTTTATACTCAGTCCAGATCGATTAAGAATCCGTTTCTCCTTACCTGTACCATGACTGTCCAAGTAACTGTTACATTGATGTCAGTGATGTTGAATAAGTACTTACTAAATTACATAATAAAAATCAGAAGGACCTGATGGTATTTCTGGTTTATTTTTGTAAATGATACGTTCATCAATATATTATTCATCATGGATTATTTTTCAAAAATCACCGAATGATTGTTTTAACCCGGATTTATTAAACTTAGTGCTGTTACACCAATATTTAAGTTTGGTGATATTAACAACGTTATAAACCTATATCAATATCAAGTCACATTGCAAAGGTATATGATTCTTTAGTCTCACGTTCCATTTCGCCCAGGGACTGGAACCGTACCTAAAAGAACCAGTTTTGGAACCGGAACCCTTTGAATATTGAGAACCGGAACCTCACCAAAACCTTAATTAAAATTAATTTTATAACTAGAACCTCACCGGAACCGATAATTTTTTGTAAAGGTTATTTACGGTTAATTTCGGTATTGTTATAATTGCATTATTTTTATTTATATCTATCATTAATAGGTAATAAGATCTAAACAAATACGTAGATCTATTATTATTATTATCGGGATTCATAATATTCAAAAATAATCATGCAAATACTTACAGAGTTTAGATGTGTCATTAAACTAGTAAAGTATACAATAGTTCTATATAACAACTGATAATGTAAAGGTAGCTCCACACTATGCATATTTCGCGTTTCGTGTTTCTCGTTTCGTATTAAGGGCTTATTTGAGGGGGGGCATTCGCGCAACTAGGTCTAAAATATTTGGGGGGGGGGGGGTTGAAGCCCTACAAATAAATTTAGTCAATGTAAGCCATGGGGGGCTTCGCATTGCCGCAGCCATAGAACAATAATTATTAATTGAAATAAAAACAATCATAAAATACTATTACCATACTATATTATTAAAAATCATGTACCTACTTTTATGTAGTATGTTTTACATAAAATATGACATAATACCACCGCAATATTCCACTGTCGTCCGTCATATTTATTAGATAATAATATTATTATTAATTATGTTGGATTGTAGGAATTACAAAATAAACTATAATAATATTTTATATTTTTACAATTTACTTTTGAATGATTCTCTGCGTCATATATTCATATTATTTAGTATGTATCTCACTATCCCATGCTTAAATTATCATTAAATTTTAAATAATCAAAAAATTTGAGGGGGCAATAATACATTTTGAGGGGCTAAGCCTCCCTGAGTCCCCCCTTAGTTGCGCCAATGTTCACAACCAAATTTTTTCATACATTTCAACACTAGATATCCAGCGAAATATGTGGCCGAACCATCTTCTAATGTGACTGGTATTGTGTTAATATCCTCTGGAACTGATACATCTGTATCATATACACTGCATTCTGAATTGGTATCTGAAGATTGATCATTTTGATATTATTTATCTGTTCTCCCTCCATTAGAATTAACACTTGATCGTTTGTTTGATAATCGATATTTTCAATAATACTTTCAAAATTCGCCCCTATAGAAGTGAATAATGAAAATATACAAGTACTTCTAAATAACGTTCTAATCGTTCTAGCTGTAGGATTCTTATATATATTATAATATTCATATACTCATATTATTTAGTATGTATCTCATTATCCCATACTTAAATTATCATTAAATTTTAAATAATCAAAAAAATATGGGGGGCTATAATACATTTTAGGGGGGACTAAGCCCCTTAAGTCCCCCCTAGTTGCGCCGATGCCCCCCATTAAGGTCCGCTCAAACCGAAGCGGTAGCGGCAGCGAAATTTAATGTCCATACGTTTTAATATGAGCGCACTCGCTATCGCGAAATTAATACCGCGACGAAAATGTTACCGTAAGATTGAGTGCGATATTTTTATTTTTCGCTGCAGACACTATATCTTTCGCTTACCGCTGCGATAATCAGTTGTAAATTCCCAACTATGAGTTATCTACATTTTATTATTAATATATTATATCTATAGAAAGCTTATCATTACATTGTATGATATATTTTGACTTTATATTCAAACATATATCTATTCATCGTAATCGTACACCTTGCAGTTGAATCTAACGTCGTGGTGTTTGAATGAATGATTCTCTTGTTTAAAATTTATTATTTATAATAAAAATGACCAATAAAGTTGAACAATTAATAGCTATTGTTAAAGAATATCCCATCATATATAATATGACACTTCCAGACAGTGGCGCCGAACTCAATTTAAAATGGAGTGACAAACTAGTAAAAAATTACCAAACACCCACCCACCCAAAATCCAAAAATTAAATCTATACATTATACCTTATAATGACTCAACCTCAACATTATCATCAGGCATCAGTCACGTAATATAATTTAGTATTTGTACAATTATTCATAAATAATAGGGTATGGCATAGTTCACATCCAGTAAAAATTTATTTTTGATATTAGATATGTTTTTTTTAGAGTACTACAAAATCCATTTTTTGTTATCAAAAAAATATTAATACCTATGAAAATGTTTGTACATTTTGTTCTTATATATTTTCGTAAGTGTAACAAAAACTCTTGTATTAATGTATTTGGATCGCTTTTCTCTGTTAATTTCTAATTTAATTTTGGCTAAACTAGTTTTCTTGTATACATTTTTTTTACATATTGATTTTTATAAATCAAAACTATATACATATGAAGTATAAATAATAAATACAGTAAGGAACTGAGGAAAATTCATGATTTTTTTCTGTAGAATGAAAAAATATAGGTAGATATAATATGTAATGATATAATTAATATAATTAATATAATTTAATAAATAAATATATTTTATAAGTTAACAATAAGTAACTATAATGTAACAAATAATTACTAACTTAATCAATTAATGAAGTAATTTACGAAGTACATTGCAGAGAAAACATCTTTTAAGCCAGTAATATGACATACATTAAAAATTGTTTGTATTGGTGTCAAATCTTCATATTTTTCAGGATCAGAAGGTCCAAATTCAGATTCCTCAAAATCTTGATCATCATCGGTATCTTCAAGAAAAATATTATCTGATACATTGTGAATTCTTTTTGAAAGTTTTATGAATTTTTCAAAATTAAAATATGCATTTGCAAATTGAACATATTCCCGTCTTAGATCTATGGCAGACACAAATTTTCCATATATATATATTCAAATCCTTGGAATGCATCCACAGGCAGGTTTGAAGCATTATTTAATACATCCTTTAAATGTTTTTGTTGAAAAAGAGAAATATCTTTAAGTAATGGAGTTGAACTTTCATTGAATCGTTCCTGTATCTGTATAGAAACAACAACCGATATAACATAATATGATTTTATTTTAAAATTTTAAACTGGATCAGCAAATTCTTCATCAAATGCAATTTCACCAGGCATTTTTATTAATGCGTCTTACTCTAGAATGAACTAAAGGTGAAAACAAAAGATTATCGTTTTTTGATTCAATAAATTTGTCTTTTTCTAAAACAATTAATTCAAATTTACTGTAATTTCTCAGTTCTTTAATATTAAATAACACTTTTTCAATAGCACCTATTAAATCTATGTTTTTACTCTGTAAATTTCTTATTACAGTTTGGGCTCGACCTGTGCTGACGCATATCGCTTGCTAGCTATCTTATCAGCGGTGCAATTACATAGCTTATATATTTATTTTAATATAATACACGACAATGTCGTCTTCTTCGGGAGGCGGCAATAACGAACTTCCAGATCGCAAAACCACCAACCTCAAGGTAACCACAACGAGGAAACAACCTGTTCTGCATGAATTCTCTATTTATTCGAAAAAGGGTAAGAACAATAAGTCAAATAAGACAATTCAAATCCAGTTTCTCCTAAATCGATACGCAATTAATTCTATTGACAATA